ACTGGGGGGTGGGAGGGGGCTCAGGGACGGGGTGGGTGCAGCTGAACGTGTCGCGGGGTGCAGGGGGACGGCCTCTCATTTCTTCCCACCCAGGTGGGCGGTGGGCTCCTGGGCACCGGCCCTGCCTTGCTGGCTTTCAGCCCTCCGCCACCTCTGTCTCCACAGTGACCTCCAGCCAGCTCCTGTGACCAGCGCGCTGCCTGATGCTGTCCCTCCTGGTGTTTGTGCCCCTGCCCCAGGCTCCCTCGCTGAAGTCCTCGCCCCCCATGGGCCTCTGGCCCTGTCGCTTTTCTCTAAGTAAAGATTCACATCCACCTGGGTCTTCATTTTCTCTTGCGCACCCCACCCTCCACTGCCCCTTGCCCCCTCCACATGAGTGAACCCGGGTGTCTGCACCCCCTGGCCCAGAGGGACCCCTGAAGGGCCCTGGAGAGTGGCCAGCCGGGAGGGGCACTGAGCTGGGCCCTGGGAAGTCATGGCTGCCTCAGGCAGGTGGAAGAGCAGGAATGTGAGTGGGTGAGGAGGGGCCAGCCTCTGCCAGCCTGGCCTGGGGCCACAGCCACGCGGGGACAGGGCCTGTGGCAGTCTGGTCCATGCGCCCCGGTCTTCCACAGTGGAACGAGCCCAGCCCTACACTTGGCTGGATCCAGGCCCCATCTTCCTGTTGCTGGGTGCGCCTCCCTCATCTGGCAGGAGTGTCTGACTCCCCTGGGTTGGCCCCTGGTTCTGGGCCCCTGCTGCCCATGGCTCCTGCCCAGATGCTTCAGTCACGAGCATGAATGAGCGAATGAAGAAATGAGTGAATGTGAGCCTCTGAGTGGGAGTGGGACCCCTGGGGGCCGGGGGAGCCCTAGCTGGGAGGGCCTGCCCAGCCCAAGCACGGCCATCCACCCATTCCTTATCCAGCTCTGTAGCCAGCGGAGAGGTGAAAGGTCTGAAGGGCCCAGAGGCCCTGGAACTGCTGAAGGTCCCCCACTCCCAGCAACTCCCCGCACTGAACTCGCAGCGGATGAGTTTCCCGGCATGCTTGTCACCGCAGCCTGTGCCTCCACACCGGCCCGTGGCTCTGGGAGGCCCCAGCCCCGCCCCCACCCAAGCACCTGTGCTCCTCTGATCCCTTTCATCTTGGGCCAGAGGGTCAGAGTCCCTGGGGAGTCTCCAACACCAGTGGAGGCCACTGACTTGGATGAGAGCCCTGGGGGGGGTCTCTGTGGCATGGGAGGAGCTGACCAGAGTGGGTCCCACCTGCTGTTGGCATGAGGCTGGGCACCGACCCCAGGGGCTGGGTGGCCACCAGGGTTCTGGTTGGGAGACACAGAGCTGAGTGCTCAGACTGAGGGTGGGCTGGACCCTGGTCATCGGCCTCCAGGCCTGGTGGCAAAGTGGGGGGTCTGGGCAGCCGGAAGGGATGCCATGTCCCCCTCGGTGCACCCTATCAGGAGGCACTAGAGGTGGCTCTGTTCTGTTGTTGATGGTGTCAACCTTGACCACTTAGCTAAGGTGGCTTCCGATGAGGTTTCCACCATAAATTTACCATCTTCCCCTTTGAATACAATTCTGTGGGAAGATTCCTTGGGACAACGTAAATCCCTTGCTCCTCTCCAAATGTCACCCCAGCTTTCGTGTTCATTGGTGATTCCTGTCTGAACCAGTGTGTTATACTTTCGGGTGATGACTTTCTAACTTTGTTATTTCTTCTGCATGGACTGGTTAACATTCTGCTCATTGACTGTAAGGAAAGGCTCTTCTCCTGCCCTTTATTTATGTATTTGTTTATTTATATCAGGGGTGACCCGTGGATGCCTGTTTCACTCGGTGAGTTAGAATCTGTTACTGTCATCACTTATTTTCATGCTCCCCTTGTCCTGAATGTGGCCAGTGAGACTGTTCTTTGACATGTGTGTGAGTCAGTTTTCTCTTGCTGATAACAGAATACCTGAAACTGGGTCATTTATAAAGATACAGAATTTATTTCTTACAGTTTTGGAGGCTGGGTAGTCCAAGGTGCAGGGGACACACCTGCTGAGGGCCTTGTTCCTGGCCAGGACTGTCTGCAGAGTCCCGTGATGACACAAGTCCCCACAGGCCAAGGGCTGAGCAGCAGAGCTCTTTACCTGATCACTCGCTGTCTTTATAAAGCCACCAGTCACTCCCTGGTAACCCAGTAAGCCCCATTACATGAGGGCAGGGCCTTCATGATCCAGTCACCTCTTAAAGGCCCCGCCTTCTAAATGCCTTATTTGGGATTAAGTTCTGACCTGAGCTGGGTGAAATTCGAACCACAGCAACAGGTCCCCGTCATTCTCTGAGCATGTCCTGTCTTTCTGGCACAAGAAGATGTGAGGACTCATTTTGTGCTTTCTCTGTTCTTGCCCCAGAGTCAGCGTTTTCCCAGGGGGCTCTGGTTCCTTTTGGTGGAGAATTGTGTTTAGAAGCCAAACTCTGGGTGCTGGGTGTGCGTGTTTCTTTGAGGAACTTGGTGGATACGGCTGGGAGGGAATACACACGCACACACACACACACACACACACTCACACTCACACACACACACACATCTGTATCTTCTCCCTCCTCCCCATATGTTCATATGTGTACACACACATACGCAACGTCCCACGAGTTCATATGACACGTAGAATTCCAGTCCAAAACCTCAGCGTTCATTCCAGTCTTCTCCAAATGCTGTGTACAAAGCTGCTGTGGGTTGCTGTTCATTTGAAATACAGTTGGATTTATTGCTGCTTGAACTCAACACTCAACTCTAGAGTCCCTCCCTGCCGTTGCTGATTGTATTCTATTAAGGATGTAAAACATTTACATGGTTCCAAAAGTCAAAACTACACAGGAGGTGTCCCAGATCAATCACCCCCCCCCCATTCCCACGCACTCCGTGAAGAAAACCAGGCTTCTTAGTTTCTGGTTTAGCTTTCCTTGTCTTTTTACAAAAATAAGCAGATGCATGAGTATTTTCTTATTTCTCCATCTTCCTTTCATGTTTCACTGGGGTGGGGGGCAGATTTCCACACCACCAACAACCAATTCTCCAGCACCAACTGGGAGTCTGACAATTCATCCGTAGCCCAACACTGACTGCCTGAAGTTAGTGCGGACACTGCAGCTTAAGGACTCAGTCCCGCAAGACTGCCCCACGTCAGAAGCCAGCTGCAAGCCCAGGATCCCCAGGCCACCAACGTCTGTCCAACTTGGCTACAAATTTGGGGGTTCCTAAGACCCCATCTTCAGTATTGACAATTCTCTAGGATGAATGACGGAACTCAGGAAGGCACTCTATTTACCACTACTGGTTTATCATAAAGTATATGACTCACAACAGCGAAGTGGAACAGACACATGGGCACGGCGTGGTGGGGGGTGGACAGAGCTCTCACAGCCTCTCCGGGTACCGCGCTGTCTTCACCAACATTGCTCAAGAGTTGTTGGGACCAATCTCCAACCCCCTTCCCCTCCCTGGAGGTTGGAGGGTGGGGCTGAGAGTTCTCGCCCTCTACTCTGGTGACCAGCCCGCACCCTGCGGCTTTCTGAGGGACCCCCGCCTGAGTCAGCTCACGAGCACAAGCAGGTCTGAAGGTGTGATCCAAAGGGGCTTGTTACGAATAACATGAAACTCTCCTAGTACTAAGGAAATTCCAAGAGGTTTAGGAACTCTGTGCCAGGAACCAGGGACAGATGCCAGATATTTTTTGTTGTGCCACATTCACTTCACGTGTACTGAGGTCGTTGCGCACCAGTGCATGGAGATTTCCCCACCCCTCTGTCAGCTGCAGGCTCCTCTAGTTTATGTGCCGCACAGCGAGCTCAGCTGCCCCCAGGATGGACGTTTACGTTGTTTCCAATAGTTTGTGATACAAACAATGCTGCCGTGACTAATTCATGCACGCGTATTTTTTTTTATTGTTGGAGATTTATCTTCAGGGTAAATTCCTAGGAGTGGTATTGCTGGGTTAAAAGTACATTTAATAATGATAAACTTAACGCCAGCTTTTTCAAGCTTTAATATAAATCTAGTAATTTTGTGTTAGTGTGAAAACATACCTCCACTTATCCCTTGTTAATGCTCCATCGGCTTGTACATTTGATATATGAAATCGCCTAAACTTTTCAAGACATTTCAAAAACATGACAGACTTGATTAACTAAATCCCCTACGTGTGCCAAACCTTAATCACACGCTGACACCTCTGATTCTCCTCAGCACTTTGAACATCTCACGGCGCGGACCTACAGATCCGTGAGCATTAACACATGACAAAGGCCACAGAGTTAGATGGTCCTAAACTTAAATTCTCTCACGCACTTTGCAATGAAAACCACAGGCTGATGAGATAAAATTTAAAGCATTTCAAATTAAAACAAGTTGAGTATGTTCCATCCTCCTAAAGGCTGCACACGCTTTCATTAGCAGACAGCGTGAACTTATGGTGCTTATTCCCAAACCTAAAGTGAGGCAGCCAGAGCAGTGGCCAAGCGCCTGCCCTCCCTGCAGCCTTCCCAGAGTCACACGGCACCCCGCCCACTGCAGGCTGGCCCCTGGGCAGGTGGGTGGGGTGGGAGGCTGCCCATCTGAGTCCCCCTTGTCAGAGTCAGACTCCGCCTGCTGAGGCATCAGGGACTCCACATGGGACTTCCAGCAGGATGCAGCTTTGGTTTGCAATCCAGAATCCCATGCATCCACCGAGCGCCCTGTAGACTGGGCCCCACCTGTCCTGGGACCTCTGACTGGTGGACTCAGACCCTATGCCCAGGACACCCAGTGCAGGTGCAGGACAGCCCTCTGCTGCCCCGTCTCGCTGTCCATGGCAAGACCCACCTGACCCACAGGGGCCTGGGCAGAGCCTAGATGGAGGGACCCTTGGAACCTGGGGGGTGCTGGGGTCTCTACAGGTCCTGAGGCACCCTGCAGAATCCTGGGGAGTCCTGGAGGGTCCTAGGAGGCCTTGGGCCCTGCCTATTGGACCCCCAGGTCACCCCTACTGGAACTAGGCCCAAGGTTTGATGGTGCGGGGTCACCATGATGCAGCAGCCTTGTCCTGGAGTGGCTTCCTCTCCTGCGTCATGGGAAACCCTCTGGGACAAGGGAGGGGCTGCTGCAGAGGCCTCAGCACCCCCCTCCCTGGAGGCCACGTGGGATGGATGGGGTGGGATGGCACGTCATGCTGATGGCTGGCCTGGGACAGCTGCAGGACCACCTGGTGGCCTGCAGCCTCCTGAGGCATCATCATCTCCCTCTCCATCCCGCCCGTGGTCCACAGGCCCAGACTGCCCAGGATGGGCAGCAAGAGATGCTTCCCAGAGC